GATTCTTAGGTTCATTTGTTTTCGAACAATATGATGTGTGCGAATCTTGCTTGTTGGGAAAATGACTAAAGCTCCTTTTAATAGTAAAGGTGAGCGAGCAAGTGATTTATTGGGGTTAATACACAGTGATGTATGTGGACCGATGAATACACAAGCCAGAGGTGGATTCCATTACTTCATTACTTTCACTGATGACTTCAATCGGTATGGGTATATTTATCTTATGCGCCATAAATCTGAAGCCCTTGAAAAGTTTATGGAATTTAAAAATGAATTACATAATCAACTAGGCAAGAGTATTAAGGCACTTTGATCAGATCGAGGTGGAGAATACTTAAGCATAGATTTTGATGAACTCCTGAAAGAATGTGGGATTGTTTCACAGCTTACACAACCTGGTACACCATAATGGAATGGAGTTTATGAAAGATGGAATTGAACACTGTTAGATATTGTTCTATTAATGATGAGTTACAGTGATCTTTTGACTTCTTTTTGGGGACATGCACTTGAAACAGTCGCTTTCACACTAAATCGTGTTCCATCTAAATCGGTTCAAAAGACATCATACGAGATATGAACAGGGAAACATCCTAGTATGTCTTTTATGAAGATTTGGGGTTGTGAAGCTTATGTAAAACATTAGATGTTTACAAAGCTCGAACCTAAATCTCATAAGTGTATATTTGTTGGATATCCTAAAGAAACTAAGGGATACTATTTCTTCAACCCTAACGAGAACAAAGTGTTTGTTTCTCGAACGAAAGTTTTTCTCGAAAGAGATTTTCTCTCAAAGAAAGGGAAGGGTAGAAATAATGAACTTGGAGAAGTTCAAGAACAACATATTAGTGAACCTGAAGTTGAACATGTTTCATAAGTTATTGAGGAACAATCAACAGATTTAGAAACATAACCACTGCACCGATCCACAAGAGACTGTCATGCACCTAAGAGATTTGGATTTCTCATTGCCACACGTGGAGATGTTCTTCTTATGGATCAAGATGATCGTATAACTTATCAAGAGGCAGTGTCTAGACCAGACTCTGAGAAATGGCTTGAAGCCATGAGATCTGAGATGGATTCCATGTTAATAAACCAAGTGTGGACTTTGGTTGAACCACCTGAAGGGGTCAAACCTATAGGGTATAAATGGGTTTTCGATAACAAAAACCGACATGGATGGCAATATACAAACATACAAGGGGTGATTAGTTGCTAAAGGTTTTTGAAAAGTTCATGGTATAGACTATGACGAAACATTCTCCCCTGTAGCTATGTTTAAGTCTATCCGGATCTTGCTCGCAATAACTGCATTCCATGATTATGAAATTTGGCAAATGGACGTCATAATTGCTTTCCTTAATGAAAAACTTGAAGATGATGTGTATATGACACAACCAAAAGGTTTTGTCGCTCCAGAAAAAGCTAGAAAGGTTTGTAAGCTATAGAGGTCTATTTATGGACTAAAGCAAGCTTCTCGAAGCTGGAATCTTCGTTTCAATGATGCAATCAAAGAATTTGGATTTATCATAACTGAAGATGAGCGTTGTGTTTATAATAAGGCTAGTGGGAGCATTGTTTCTTTCCTAATCTTGTATGTAGACGACATACTCATCATAGGAAATGATATACCTACTTTACAGTATGTTAAGACTTGGTTAGGTAGTTGTTTTTTCTATGAAAGATTTGGGTGAGGCAGCGTATATCTTAGGAGTTAAGATCTATAGAGATATATCAAGACGACTTCTAGGTCTGAGTCAAAGTATATATATAGACAAAGTGATGAAAAGTTTATGTATGGAAGAATCCAAGAAAGGATTGTTGCCTATGAGACATGTCATTTCTCTTTCGAAGGAAATGTGTCCTTTAACTCCACAAGAAAGAGAACGGATGAATAAGATTCCATATGCTTCGTCTATTGGTTCTATCATGTATGCCATGATATGTACTCGACCAGATGAATCGTATGCTTTAAGCATTAAGAGTCGGTATCAAGCAAACCTTGATGAAAATCACTGGGTTGCGGTTAAAAATATCCTTAAGTACTTAAATAGAAATAAGGATAAATTTCTTTTCTATAGAGGGGAGGAAGAGCTTAGTGTAAAAGGTTATACTGATGCCAGCTTCCAAACTAACAAGGATGACTAATGATCGCAATCAAGTTTTTTGTTTTGTCTTAATGGAGGTACTGTGAGCTGAAAAAGTTTGAAGCAAGACACAATAGTTGATTCTAAAACAGAGGTTGAATACATTGCAATAGAATACATTGCAACCAGTGAAATAGCAAAAGAGGTTGTTTGGATCAAAAAGTTCATATCAGAACTAGGAAGCCATATCAGATGTTGTAGAACTCTGTTATGAAAATAATGGAGCCATTGCACAAGCAAAGGAAGACATATCTCATCAATGATCCAAACATATTCTTAGGCACCTCCATCTCGTTCGAGAGATCATATATCTAGGAGATGTGGAAATATGCAGAATACACACGGATGACAACATTGTTGATCCCTTAACGAAGCCTCTTACACGGTAGAGGCATGATCGTCACACCGAGTCACTCGGTATTAGATATGTGCGTGATTGGTCTTAGTTCTAGTGGGAGATTATTAGAGTATGCCCAAAGACCAATCATATGATGATTGTAAAGATACATTTATTTATCGATTTTATTGAATAAAGGCATTACCACTATTTTTTTCAGTTATATGTCTGTGTTTAACATAAATTGAAAGATAATAAAGTCCATATAATAACATTATTATTATTAAAATGATCCATAGTCAAGTATTATTATGGGCATGGACAATAATAATATGCTTAAGACTAACATGTTATTGATTGATGACAACGGGTTCTCATTGACATAGAGATGTCAGAATTGATACATGATTATATTGTTAGAGAATAATGTATTGGATTGACCCACCATGAGCATATGTCTTGGATTATTATGTAACGGTCGTAACATTGCTAATGGTAATGATTATATGTATGATCCTCAGACCTGAGATCAATGTTATCCCAACATATATTGTTGTATGTTTTGATACAGTTAAACATGCTCCGTAATTGGTTGCACTATAAAGACTGTTATTGAATATATCTCGATATATGTAGTGGGTGTGTATGATTAAGATAGGATTTTTCCTTCCTACATAATAGAAAATATATCAAAGGTCACTTGATTGAGTGAGACTAGAAATGCATGGCCATGCTCGAATAAGTTGATATGAGATATCACAAACCATTCGTTAATTATAGTCTACTCTAAATATCAAGAAACAATAGATGGGTTATACAAGTGTGACTATTCCAAGACTTGTGTCTATTCTACATATAAGGGACAAAAGGATGTAATACATAAAAGAGTTAATCACGAATATGATATGTCGAATCATAATTTCTTGTAACTTAGGTGACAATGATATATTGCTAGATGTCACTCATTGTATGTAATATTAAAATTGTTCTAATAATTACTACTGGCGTTACAAGAACCTACAGGGTCACACCCTAGGATTGAAATGAGCAAAGATGTACAATTTGTTGTATGTTACTAAAATATATTTAGAGTTAATATATGTATATTTGATATACATATGATTTTAATTATCCCGAATATAGTAAGTAAACATTAAAAGAATGTAATTTTGATTACAACTCTTTTAATCGATATTTAATTCGGAATAATTAAATAAGATTTTAAATAAATGTTAAAGATTGTAATTCAGATTATAAGTCTTTAATGTATATTTAATTTGAATTAATTAAATCAGATTTTTTATTAATTTGAAATAACTTAAAATCCCTAATATGTTAGGGTAACTGATATATTTAAAGTGAGGTAAGGTCTAGCATCCATGTTCTTCAGCCGTTTTTCTCAAAACTATTTTTGGAAAAAATAAATTTTTCTCTCAATCGGGTGAATTAAGTAGAGGTTGAGACGTGTTTTCGTGGAGACTTACGATTCGAACCTTTCGTGATCACCATTAGTCACTGTTGTCTTTGTTGTTTTTTCAAAGAACCCATTGTAAGTATTCGCATCCTTTCCTCCCGATTTCGGTTTTGCGTACTTGGATCGCTGGTGAGACCGTCGAGTTTTTGTTTTCGTTGTGCCATGGGTCCTAACACTTATAACCTGTTGAAATTAATAATTTATCGGACCTTTCAAACTTACACACTTCCACCTTAACGAAAAGTTTACCCAATCCAAGCCTTTACGAAAGAATTTGCTCATGAATTACAACTGCGATGAACCAATTTTATCGAGAAGCCACGGTGTTTCAATAACCCATCCAATTTCAACACTAGATTTGCAAGATGACCAGGAGGAGCCACCGACTGGTTAAACCAATCCACCACTAGTAACCGATATAGTAACTGATATAGTAATCGATATAGTAAGTTCACCAAAAACCAATAGTAACCGATATAGTAATCGATATAGTAACTGATATAGTAATCGATATAGTAAGTTCACCAAAAACCAATAGTAACCGATATAGTAAACCCTAAACCCTAAACCCTAAATCTTATATTTACCGCTACTGATCGATTTGATAAAATGATCAATCCCCATTTAACTGCCCATAGCTTGATAATAGAAGATGGACACACACTACATGGTTCAGAAAATTGGAACAGAATTTCCCCTTCTTATCCTCGCAAAATACCCCCCACATCACACTCCTAGCCCTTTAACGTAGCTGCCCCGGCCACATTTAGTTCCACGCAACCACTTGAGGGGGCTGACCATTGAAGAAAGGGAGCCCCAAGTCCATGATTTAAACTTAAATTATCATCTATAAAAGGATCAGCCATAATACTTTCCACTGATATACTACGATCAGCATGTTTGGCTTTAAGCCATGTACCAAGGCGAAATTTCACTAAAAAATCATCTGAGGCAGATCCATTGTTTTGTCACGAAAAACAAATTCATTTTTAAACAACCATATAGTACAGATAACAGCAAACGAGATGTAAGACCATACCTGACTGACCGACGACACCCCAATTGCCTCCCAAGCTTCCAGGAAAACAGCAAGTTCCATATGTAAAGCAACGGATATCCCCCAATAAACTACAAAAAGTCGTCCAGACCCTCCAGCTGTACCAGAAAGAAAAAAAATAAATGCTTAGATGATTCTGGACATCTCTGTACAGAGCAGTCTAGGACACGATTACTCATAACTAACCAAGTGAATAGTCGACTTTTGGGAGCAAAACCAAGCCAAACAAACTTCTTCCAAAAATTGCTCTGTAACATCCCAAAAATCGGATTAGTAGTCTCGATATGTGATTTGACCGAATTGCGAGATTTCCGAAAATTCATAATTTTTATGATTTTAAACATAGGAATTTACTTTAGATTATTATTATTTATTTTGACTTGGGATTAATGGGGTGAAATTGAATAAGTTCAATAGTGTAATTATAGTGGTTAAAATGGAATAGGATCGAATTATTAAAATCTATGAAGCGATTATACCAAGAGTTGATATAATTTCTTATTTTCTTATTTTTGGTTTTAATCTATTTTAAAATATTTTATTATAATTTTATTTTATTAAATTTAGATTTTATCTTTTTCCCTAGTGTTTTGATGCTCATCCAAAACACGTTCATTTTTCCTCTTGGTTTCTTCGATGGCTAAAACCTCCATTTCCTTCCTCTCAAACCTTTTTTCTGGTTTTATTCTTGATTCAATCCATTTCTAAACTTCATTTTCAACCTTCCAATACTTCCTCTTTACCGTGGATTTCTTTAGCTTGGTGGAGTTCTCTTGTTTTCTTTCCTTGATGGTTTTACTCTTCTTCAATCAATTTCCAGCAAGTTAAACTTCGTTTTATTGGTTCCTTAATGCTTCGCCGATTAAAAAGATCCTTTTTATATTGATGGATGATAGTTTTCAATGAAATGATACTTTTGGGGAAATAAAAAATGATTTTCAGAATAAAATAAAGATCTAGTTTTCTTGAGATGATTAGGGGATTTTCTGGTTATAAATTAGATGTTAATAATGAGGTTAATATTGGGCTAAAATAGTTTTTCAATCAGAAATTGATTTCTTATTGAATCCTTTGAAATAAGCTTAGTTTTAGACGATTTCAGAAATATGGGAATTCCTTAAGTTGCCGCTGCTTTTGGACAGTTATTTGATGTTTAAGGAACTGATTTAGGTTGCTTTTGATCAGTTTTAGGGGGAAGAAAGTTGTGTTAGAGTTGTGGAAAGTTTCGAGTGCAAGACTGATAAGAATTTTAGTAGTTTCAGCATTATACGCTCTGTTTTCGAAGTAGATTTTTCTGCTCTATATTGGGAACTTTAGTGACACTCTGCTATGGATTCTAAAGTGTTCTTTGGGTATTTAATGGAGTAAACTTGGTGCGCTATTGTTCATTGTTTGTTGGGCATAAGTTTGGATCGATTCCGTGTGGTAAACGTGATAGCGGTGAGTGGATATTCGTTCTTTTATAATGAGCATTGGTAATATTAATTGAACATTAGAATGGTAAGTATTTGGTGAAACTAAAAGTAAGTTACTACTGTATTTTTAGAATTGGTTTCATTTATGCAAACATTTTATGATGATGAATCAACATGATTGTACATAAGCATGATGTTACCTTGTGATGCGTATATGAATTTGCAAAGCGATGTTTATAAGCTATTATGAATTTAGTTACGGACGAGTAAAGACACTTCGATGTCCAAGAATGAGAGGAGACGGTTTACTATTCATTTTGGGTTGATCATGATAACCACCTTAATTTGAAAACTATGTTTTGAAAATGAATAAGTATATGTAAATGTTATGCATCACTTGGCAACTATTTATGGTGAACTTGACTTAATTGGCAATTGTTCTTAAAGAGACATTTGCATATAAAAGGCATGCCTAAGAATGAGTACTCAGTGTTTTAAAATTGTGGTTGTAAGGGATACGAGAATAGGTTGGTCAGTTGAGCTTTGCTCTGAGAAGATATACGAGGTAAAGTTGGTACGTTGAGCTTTGCTCCGAAATGTGGAAGTTGGGACCTATGTGAGTCCAAATAAAAGGAGTGATTTGGAGTCTTTTTATCCATAGATATGTTGTGTTTCAAACAAAAATCAATGGTCTTAAATTAATTAATTATGTGTGCATTTTGTGCATGGACTTCCACCAAAGATAATAGCGCATGTGGGCTTGTGTGTTGCATTGATGATCATGAGTTTATTAAGCATTCTATAATCTAGAAATTTAGTTATATGTCTTGTAAAGTGTATGGAAATAGAGTATCTATGGATTGGTAAGATTTGATTAAGCTTTGGAAAGAATGCATAACTCGTAGTTTGCTTCCATCGATTTTACTATGTGCATTATCTTAGAAGGTATAGTCATTCACTGGGCTTCAAGCTCACACTCTGTTGTACAAATTTGTGTAGAGAATTAGTGGCTATTTCATGGTGGAAGCGTTGTCCGATGCTGATCAAATAAGACTTTACTTTTTAAAAGAATATGTGAACCAAGAGTTGGCTTTGAGACAATATGGGGTTGCTATTTTCGGATTTTGTTTTTTTGTTTTTTTTTTTGATGTTGTCAAGTTTTGTAAATAACATACAATGGTTTGGTCTTGAATTACTTGATTGCATGTTATGTTGGTGATTTGAAATATGTCGTTCATTAATCATGGTTTCATGGTAGGTAAATTATGCCAAAACTTGCTGTGAACTCTAACAAGTGCTTCAACGGCTTAGACATGTTATTTTAAGTGTACATAATATGTTAGTGCCTTAGGAAGCATGCAATGTGAGGTTTAGTGTCTTTTGGTTAGGTGACTTATGAAAAAGTAAGTTGTTTATGCAAATTTTGACTTTCGATCCCTTGCCCCAAGGCCCAAACCTACTAGATTGCAAAAGATCGATCCCCCGTAAAAAAGGACCAATCCCTTCGCTATGTAATCTCTTAAAAAATGGAAAAATTCAATTTATTAAAGATCTAAATGTCCTTAAGTCTTAATTTGATCATAGGATGATTTTGTATGTTCAAAAAGGTCCAAAATGACTTAGTTAATTATTATTATATTTTAATTGGAATATTGAAGAGATTTGTTTTGGTCTCACTATAAAGTATTGAATCACTTGATATGAGAGTCTATTTTATGATATTTTTTGTGTGAGAATTTTGATTAATTTACATTGTGGTCCCTAGATTGTAAGTTCTATTAGATCCTCGATTGATGCCTGATCAATGTGAAACTTTTAAATTAAGAATGGTAAATGAATAATAATGAGCCTAATTTCATAAAATAACTTGGGAGATATTAATTATAAAATTATCATTTATCATGATGATCTAGTAGTTTTTCCTTGAAATGTTAAATGATTGAATGACGTTTGTTTATTAACTATTTACCATTGTCATAACTTGTATATTGTATGTTCAAACTAGCTTTCATGTTTTACAATTTTTTATTTTCTAACAAGTTCGAAACCTAATGTTCGCTCAGGCATCCAGGCCATCCTACGTATTAGGTATGGGGTGTTACATTTGTTGGTATCAGAGTCATGTTATATGAAAAATGTGTATGTATATTAGGTAGATAAGTGGGAACTATATTGCCTCAAATGTTTAAAAAAAATTACAAGTCGTTGTTTGATCACCTGATGAGATTTTAACCTTAGTTTTGTTTAAATTTTGTAGATTTTGTGCTAGTATAGTTCTTTATGGTGCCGCGTTGTGTAGTATTAGGAGCTCCTGAGGGTCAGTGCCCTACCAATGGTGCTAATGCAACTACAGTTGGGGTGTTGATAATGGACTTCCACCTGTGGTTCCAAATCCTAATATTCCTCTTGATCAGTTAGCTGAGGTGATAATTGGTATTTTTGGAGAGCGGTTCCAAACATCGTTCATATTCATGCACCTGAGCCGGTGAATTGTGGGTTACCTTTAGAGAGTTTAAGAGCTTTTAGAGAAAAAGAGTTTAGTGGGGTTCGTCGTACCGAGCCGATCGTAGCTGAGGAATGGTTGGATAGTGTCATATAAATTCTTGAATAGATAAGCTACTCAGATAATGAAAAGCTGGGATGCATGGCATATTTACTTTAGGGTGATACACACCGTTAGTGGTCAACCATTAAGAGAGGGACAACAACAAACTGATTGATATGGGTGTTCTTTCAAGAATCATTCTGAAGGAAGTTTTTGGATTCTTAGTACACTAGTGCTAGGAATAAGAAATTTCTTGATCTGGTTTAGGGTATGATGTCAGTTTCTAAATATCAGGTAGAATTTATCAGACTTAGTGAATATGCTCCTGAGATCGTATCGACTGAGGCTAAGCAGTGTAAGAGATTCAAGGATGGGTTGAAGAGAGAGATTCGTGCCTATTTGGTGACTAGTTCTTTCGATGTGTTTGATTATGGTTGATCAAGCAAGAGATGTAAAGAGTACCATAGGTGAATCAAGTCATGAAGTTCAGGGAAAGAGATCATCTGAAGCTTTTGGTTTCCAATTCACTATGCAAAGAGGGGTCGCAATTATGCTGACTGTGGTAAGAACTACCGACGGGACTTCTAACAGAGGTAGACAGACAGAGTTGCTCAGCTGGTGCAGGTCATGTCAAGTATCCTCGGTGTGATACTTGTGGCAAGAATCATGGAGGCGAGTGCTGGCATCGTACTGAAGCCTTTTTCACTTTGGTGTTGTGGGACATCAGATTTGAGATTGTCCGCAGAGATCTGAGGATAGAGCTATGGTGGTTATACCGAGTCGTGGAGGAGGTAGAGCAGGTGGTGGCAATCAAGATCATTCTCGTGGTAGGGGATGTGGTCCTGGTGCTCCAGCTGAGGGTGGATGACCTGGTAGAGTTTATATGATTTGTGAGCGTCAGGATTGTGCCCCTACTGATGTGATTACATGTACCTTTTCTTTGGAAGTTATTCCTTTGGTCGCTTTGATTGATTCTGGTTCATCACACTCATATATTCTTAGTCATTTGGTGAATAGTTTGAATATCCCTATTAGTAAACATGATGTGGAAATGGTACTAGTATTTTGGGTGAGAGTGCTTTAGTAGATAAAGTTTAGCGTAAATGTCTGCTAGTCATTAAAGGGAAGGTATTTCCAGTTGACCTTATAGAGTTGTCGTTTCAAGGGTTCAACATTATTCTAGGGATGGATTGGCTTTGAGAGTATCATGTGCATTTAGACTTTAAGTTGTCGTGTGCTATCTTAAAGACTCCTGAGGGAAATAAGTTAGTGGTTGTATGTGAAAGGTAGGGGTTCCTTTACAATGTTACTTTGGCTTTGTATACAAGAAAGATGTTGAATAAGGGTTGCGAGGCATATTTGACTTACATCCTTAATTCAGAAGGTAAGGAATTGATGTTTAACATATTCCGATAGTTAGACTTTCTTGATGTGTTTTTGAATATCTTTCGGGGTTACCTCCGGATCGTGAGGTTGAGTTTCGTATTGAAACTTATATTGATTCAACTCCAGTGTCCATTGCTCCCTATCGTATGGCACCTAAGGAGCTGAAAGAGTTGAAGATGCAATTACAAGAATTGCTTGATTGTGGATTCATTCGTCCAAGTGTTTCGCCTTGGGGTGCTTCGGTGTTGTTTGTAAAGAAGAAAGATGGTATGATGCGCATGTGCATTGATTATCATCAATTGAACAAGTTAACGATTAAAAATTTGTACCCATTACCAAGGATCGATGACTTGTTTGATCAATTTCGAGGGGCTAAGGTGTTTTAAAAATTGACCTCAGATTGGGTTATTATCAGTTGAAAGTTGCAAAACCAGATGTAATGAAGACTACTTTTAGGACGCGTTATGAGCATTATGAGTTCCTTGTGATGCCCTTTGGTTTGACGAATGCTCCAGTAGATTTTATGGATTTGATGAACCAAGTATTTCACCAATATTTGGATCAGTTTCTATTGGTTTTCAATGACAATATTTTGGTGTATTCTAGAACAAAAGAGGAGTATGATGCACATCTCAGTATAGTTATGCAAGTTCTGTGAAAGAAGCAGTTGTATTCTAAGTTTTTGAAGTGCAAGTTTTAGCTAAAGGAAGTGGCATTTTTTGGGCATGTGGTTTCAACTTAGGGTATTCGGTTTGATCTGAGTAAGATTAAAGTTATAGTAGAGTGGAAGTCATCAAAGAGCGCTACCGAGGTCCGTAATTTCCTCATATTGGTTGGGTATTATCGTCATTTTGTTGAAGGATTTTATTTAATTGTTGCACCTTTAACGAAGCTGCTGCAGAAGAATGCAAAGTTTGAATGGACAGAAGAAAGAAAACGTAGCTTTGAGAACTTGAAGACAGATTTAACCAAGGCACTAGTGTTACTGCAGCCATAATCGGGGAAAAGTTTTGTAGTCTTCATTGATGCATCCATCATTGGCCTTGGTTGTGTGTTAATATAAGAGGGTAAAGTGATTGTCTACACTTCGAGCCAGCTGAGACCGCATGAACGTAATTACCCGACGTATAATTTGGAGCTAGATGTTGTATTGTTTGCTTTGAAGATTTGGTGACATTATTTGTATGGTGAGAAGTGTATCATTTACACTGATAATAAGAGCCTCAAGTACCTTTTGACTCAGAGAGAATTGAATTTAAGGCAAATACGTTGCGTTTAACTATTAAAAGGACTATGATTGTTCGATAGAATATTATCTGGGAAAAGTGAATGTGGTAGTCGATGCATTGAGTTGTAAGTAGATGGGAGAGTTGTGAGCTTTGTTCGCGCAACTAAGTATTGCAAATGATGGTGCTTTGATTGCATGGATTCGAGTTCGACCATTTTGACGCAACACATTCAAGAGTTGTAGTCATCTGATCGATTGCTAGTGGTTAAGGCTCAGTTGGTTCAAGATGGTTTTATGGGTAGTTATTCATTGAATATGGAGAGAATTTTTTGTTTTCAAGGTCGTATGTGTGTGCCGGATAATGAAGAATTAAGGCGGGAAATCTTGGTGTAGGCTCATAGTAACCTTTTGTCCGTACATCCTGATACAGAGATCTTCTTCATGATTTTTATTGGTGGCCAGGAATGAAGATTGATGTTGTTAAATTTGTGAGGCGATGATTAGTCTGTCAGCACGTAAAGGATGAACATCAGTTTCCTTCAAGATTGTTACAACCAATTAGTATTTCTGAGTGGAAGTTTGAGCATGTCATTATGGATTTTGTTTCACGTTTACCTTTAACTCCATCTAAGAAAGATTATGTTTGGGTGATTGTTGATCATTTCTTGAAAAGTTCTCATTTTCTTCCAGTACGTACGAATTATTATTGCAGAAGTTAGCTAAGGTTTATATTGATGAGATAGTTCGGTTGCATGATGATGTTCCTGTTTCATTTATCTCATATCATGATCCCATTTTACCTCAAAGTTTTAGAATAGCTTGCAGGAATATTTGGGTTCAAAACTTAAGTTTAGCATGGCTTATCACCCTCAGAAGGATGGTCAGTCTGAGCGTGTGATTCAAATCCTTGAAGATATGCTTTGGGATTATGTTATTTATTTCGATGGATCTTGGGAGAGGCATTTACCATTGCAGAGTTTGCATATAATAATAGCAACTAGTAAAGTATTCAAATGGCTTCATTTGAAGCATTATTTGGGCGGAAGTGTCACACTCCCTTATGTTGGACCGAATTAGGTGAAGGATGAACTGTAGGACCGATTTGATTAGAGAGGTAGAAGACAAAGTAAAGTTGATCGTAGATAGATTGAAGTTGTTTTTGATCGACATAAGTCTTATACAGAGTTAAAGCGTCATGAAATTGAGTGCAATGTGGGAGATCTTGTATTCTTGAAAGTTTTGCCTTGGAAAAAGGTATTGAGGTTTGACTGTAAAGGAAAACTTATTCTGAGGTTTATTGGCCCGTATTAGATCATTAAGCGTATAGGAACAATTGCATATTGTCTTTAGTTGCACCCTGAACTTGAACACATTCATAATGTGTTTCATGTATCGATGTTGAGGAGGTATCGTTGGGATCCATTGTATATTGTTCCAGTTAAAGATATTGAGGTTCGTGCAGACCTATCATATTAAGAGTAACCTATAGAGATTTTAGCGCGAGAGGTGAAAGTTCTAAGGAATAAGTTGAATCCTTTGGTGGAAGTGTTGTGGCGTAACCACAGTGTTGAAGAAACCATGTGGGAACCTAAAGAGACGATGAAAGTGTTAGAGTATGCCCAAAGACCGATCATATGATGATTATAATGATACATTTTATTTACTGATTTTATTGAATAAAGGCATTGTCGCTATTATTTTCAGTTATTTATGTGTTTAACATAAACTGTAAGATAATAAAGTCCATATATTAACATAATTGTTATTATTAAAAGATACCTAGTCAAGTATTATTATGGGCATAGACAATAATAATACGCTTAAGACTAACATGTTATTGATTGATGACAACGAGTAGTCATGACATAGAGATGTTAGAATTGATACATGATTATATTGTTAGAGAACAATGTATTAGATTTACCCACCATGAGCATATGTCTTGGATTATTATGTGACAGTCATAACATTGCACATGGTGATGACTATATGTATTATCCTTAGACTTGAGATCAATGTTATCCCAACATATATTGTTGTATGTTTTTATGCAGTTAAATATTCTCCGTAACTGGTTGCACTATAAAGACTGTTATTGAATATATCTCGATATATGTAGTAGGTGTGTATTATTAAGGTAGGATTTGTCCTTCTTGCATAATAGGAAATATATTACAGTCCACTTGATTGAGTGAGACTAGAAATGTATGGCCATGCTCGAATAATTTGATATGAGATATCACAAATTATTCTTTAATTAAAGTCTAGATATCAAGAAACAATAGATGGGTTATACAAGTGTGACTATTCCAAGACTTGTGCATATTCTAGATATAAAGGACAAAATGATGTAATACATAAAAGAGTTAATCATGAAGATGATATGTCGAATCATATTTTCTTGTAACTTAGGTGACAATGATATATTGTTATATGTCACTCATTGTATGTAATATTAGAATTGTTCTAATAATTACTACTAATGTTACAATAACCTATAGGGTCACACCCTAGGATTGAAATGAGCAAAGATGTACAATTTGTTGTACGGTAATAAAATATATCTAGAGTTAATATATGTATATTTGATATACATATGTTTTAATTATCTCGAATATTTAATTTGAATTAATTAAATAAAGATTCAATTGATTTAAAATAATAAAATCCCTAATATGTTAGGGTAACTTTGATATAAAAGATGTGTAAGGTCTGACAGCCATTTTTTACATGATCTTCAATTATTTTTCTCAAAACAGTTTTGGGAAAAGAAAATATTGCTCTCAATCAGGTGAACTGGGTAGAGGCCGAGATGTGGTTTCGTGAAGGCTTACGATTCGAACCAATCGTCACCACCATTAGTCGTTGTTGTCCTTGTTGTTTTTCAAGGGACCCACTGTAAGTGTTTGTGTCTTTTCTTCTCGAATTCGATTTATCGTACTTGGATCGCTGGTGAAACCGTTAAATTTTTGTTTCCGCTGCGCCATAGGGTGAGTCGACGGTCCCAACACAAAGTGCAATATCCGTTTTTATTTGCTTAAGGTAATTTTGAGGATGAAATTCTTTTTAGGGGAGAGAGTTGTAACATCCCAAAAATCGGGTTAATAGTTCGAATCATTAATTTGATTGAATTGCGAGATTTTCGAAAAAAGTCATAATTTTAAAAAATTTAAACGTAGGAGTTTACTTTATATTATTATTATCAATTTTGACTTGGGATTAATGGGGTGACAAATTGAATAAGTACAAAAGTGTAATTATAGTGGTTAAAATGGAATATGATCGAATTACTAAAATTTATGAAGCGATTATATTAAGAGTTGATATAATTTCTTATTTTCTTATTTTTGGTTTTAATCTATTTTAAAATATTTTATTATAATTTTATTTTATTTTATTAAATTTAGATTTTATCTTTTTCCTTAGTGTTTTGATGCTCATCCAAAACACGTTCATTTTTCCTCTTGTTTTCTTCGATGGCTAAAACCTCCGTTTCCTTCCTCTCAAACCTTTTTTCTGGTTTTATTCTTGATTCAATCCATTTTCAACCTTCCAATACTTCCTCTTTACCGTGGATTTCTTTAGCTTGGTGGAGTTCTCTTGTTTTCTTTCCTTGATGGTTTTTACTCTTCTTCAATCAATTTCCTGCAAGGTAAACTTCGTTTTCTTGGTTCCTTTATGCTTCGTCGATTAAAAATATCATTTCCATAATGATGAATGATACTTTTCAATCAGATGACGATTTTTGGGGAAATAAAAATGATTTTCGGAACAAAATAAGAGCTAGTTTTCTCGAGATGATTTAGCGATTTTCTAGTGATAAATTATATGTTAATAATGAGGTTAATATTGGGTTAAAACAGTTTTTCAATCGGAAATCGATTTCTTATTGAATCCTTTGAAATAAGCTTAGTTTTGGACGTTTTTAGAAATCTGGGAATTTTTTAAGTTGCCGCTTTTTTGGAAAGTTATTTGATGTTTTATGAACTAATTTAGGTTTCTTTTAATCATTTTTTGGGGGAAGAAAGTTGTGTTGAAGTTTTGCAAAGTTTCGAGAGTAAGAATGGTAAGAATTTTGGTAGTTTCGGCATTCTACGCTCTGTTTTTGAAGCATATTTTTCTGCTCTATTTTGGGCACTTTAGTGACACTCTGCTATGGTTTCTAAGGTGTTCTTTGGGTCTTTAATGGAGTAAAACTGGTGCGCTATTGTTCGGTGTTTGTTGGGCGTAAGTTTGGATCGATTCCATATGGTAAAAGCGATAGAGGTGAGTGGTTGTTCGTTCTTTTATAATGAGCATTGGTAATATTAATTGAATATTAGAATGGTAAGTATTTGATGAAACAAAAAGTAATTTAATACTCTATTTTTGTAATTGGTTTCATTTATGCAAACATTTTATGATGATGAATGAGCATGATTGTACATAAGCATGATGTTACCTTGTGATGCGTATATGAATTTGCAAAGCTATTTTTGTAAGCTATTATGAATTTAGTTACGAACGAGTAAAGACACTTTGTTGTCCAAGAATGAGTGGAGACAGTTCACTATTCTTTTTGGGTTGATCATGACAACCACCATAGTTTGAAAACTATGTTTTGAAAATGAATAAGTATATGTAAATGTTATGCATCACTTGGCAACTTTTTATGGTGAACTTGACTTAATTGGCAATTGTTCTTAATGGGAACTTTGGATATGAAAGGCACCCCTAGGAATGAGTAATCAGTGTTTTAAAATTATGATTGTAAGGGATACAAGGTTAGGTTGGGAAGTTGAGCTTTGCTCCGAGAAGATATACGAGGTAAAGTTGGTACGTTGAGCTTTGCTCCGAAATGTGGAAGTTGGGACCTATGTGAGTCCAAATAAAAGGAGTGATTTGGAGTCTTTTTATCCATAGATATGTTGTGTTTCAAACAAATTCCAATGGTCTTAAATTAATTAATTATGTGTGCATTTTGTGCATGGACTTCCACCAAAGATAATAGTGCATGTGGGCTTGTGTGTTGCATTGATGATCATGAGTTTATTAAGCATTCTATAATCTAGAAATTTAGTTATATGTCTTGTAAAGTGTATGGAAATAGAGTATCTATAGATTGGTAAGATTTGATTAAGAATTGGAAAAGAATGCATAACTCGTAGTTTGCTTCCTTTGATTTTACTATGTGCATTATCTTAGAAGGTATAGCCATTCATTGGGCTTTAAGCTTATACTCCGTTGTATAAATTTTTGCAGAGAATTAGTGGCTATTTCATCGTGAAAGTGTTGTCCGGTGGTGATCAAATAAGACTTTACTTTTTAAAAGAGTATGTGAACCAAGAGGTGACTTTGAGGCAATATGGGGATGCTATGTTGGGATTTTGTTAGTTTTGGTGTTGTTAAGTTTTGTAAATAACTTTGACAATGGTTTGGTCTTGAATTACTTGATTGCGTGTAATGTTGGTGATTTGAAATATGTTGTTCGTTAATCATGGTTTCATGGTAGGTAAATTATGCCAAAAGTTGTTATGAACTCTAGCAAGTGCTTCAACGACTTAGACAAGTTATTTTAAGTGTACATAATATGTTAGTGCCTTAGGAAGCATGCAATGTGAGATTTAGTGTCTTTTGGTTAGGTGACTTACGAAAAGTAGGTTGTTTATGCAAATCTTGACTTTCGAAGCTAGATTTCTTTATGAAGTGTTTACTGATGTTTTGAAGCATGCTACAAGTGTGTTATGATGTGTAGTGGTTAAACAACATAAACAAACAAATCATTATTTATGACTAAAATTGAATGCGCCTGAAATCAAGAGACAAAAGTATCAACACACAAATCTTCAATTAGAGACTAAAATGAACTTGAGGAAAAACCACAATGACCCCTAACCCGATTAAACCATACATAAAACACAAACCCTATATCCCTGAGACAACACCGTTCCATCACTAGGTAAGGCCCTAAACCAAACCAAGCTCCTCGGTTCTCCCTCTAGACCACCAACCTAAAGCTAAGGCTCACTAGATTGAACCCTAAACCATGAACGACCCTCGACCCCAACATGCATGGCCACAAGGGCCTCCGGTGAACCGATCTACACCTATGAAGGGACCAAACGCCAGGTAAAACACTAGGCTCTTCTCTTTACTGTTTCTTATTGCTTTTAAACACTCTAAAAAAACACATGCATACACACGAACATAAATGAAAATAAAAGAAGAATCAGAATAGGAACGAAAATACCCTTGATGAATCTCTTTGATTGCTTCGGAATTTCAAATGATACTGCCTTTAGAACCCAAAAAAATGAAGACAAAGTGTCTTGTATTGCTTCAAAAATTGGGGAGGAACCCCTTACATTGATTGTTTCTGCTGAAAGAAAAATAGAGATAGGGAAGACCCTTTACCAATCTCTCTAATTTTTCCTTTCTCTTGATCAATGCTCCCTTTCCCCTTTTTTGGTGAATTTTTTCTTTTGCTCATGAACCCCCCTTTTGCTTGTGAACCCCCCTTTCTCCTTACTGCTACCTCTTTCTTTCTGAAAAATGGCCCCCCTCCCTGGGTGAGTCCTCCAAAATGGTTTATTATCTTTCTCCCTAGTGGCCCCTCACTAGTCATAATCATCGGCACAATTTCATGCATGAATTCGGTTAAAAGTGGGAGTAGTGAGTGTTGGCCGAATTTTCTTCAAGTTGGTGGATCAAACACTTGGTTTTGTCTTGCACATGGGCTGTCTAGTGCCTTGTCCTCACGCACATGGGCTGTTCATTTGAAAGCACACGTGGATTGTCTTCTTTGCTCAAGTAAGTGGAAATATAATAAGGGTTGATGGGTGTGTTGCATTCAGCCGAATTTTCCTCCAAACATTGCGTGTTTTGTGAGCTGGAAAGAGTCTTGAGAATGCTCCAATATGCTGCCAAATGTGTGCCATACTTTAATACCCATTGTTTTCATGTTCTATGAGTTGGAAATGCCTTGAAAATGCTTCAACACGTTGCCTAAACTTGTGAGCTTGTAGTGCAGTTTTATTCCAGCAGATGAATGCTATCCACGTGCAGCAGTTTGGACGTGTTTGTGGAGTGAATCCAAGCTGGTTTGAGTGGATTATCAGCTGTTTATGTCTCCCAAGGGTTTCAACAAGTTATCCTAACGTGAGTCATGGTCTAATGTGTTTTTGCAAGGAAAACAACGGTTTGTTGAATTGAATTCGTAATTCCCGTATTGATTTTCAGCCTGCACAGTCTTCATTTATCTGATCATATCTTGAGCTACCGATATTGGATTGATACGATTCAAAGTGCGTTCGAAAGGTAAGAGATAGAGGATTAAATGTTAAGAATACTTATTCAACCAAATATGCTTGTAACATGTTCAAAATTGGAAATCAATATGGATGACGTGCACTGTTTATAATTTGGGGCCTGATTTGTGCTCGGTGTACCTTGGCCTGCAAAATGATAACCTAAATAAAGTTAACATTATTATTAATAATAAAATAATATAATAATAATAATAACGATATCCCAGACAAAACAGGTGTCTACAGCTGCCCCTCTTTGCTCATCCTTGTATTAACAAGAATAGAACAAAGATAAAAAAGAGACAACACGTTTTTGTCCAGTTCAATCTTTGCTTTAAAACTTGATAAGGGATCTGTTCCACTCCTCCCCCGGGGTGAGACTTGAAAGATCCTCAGAAAACATGTTCACACCCTATTCCTTCAAGGAGTATAAGACTCAAACCATCTTCAACAATCGTGTCTACTCCCTATTTCTTCAGAGAGTATGAGACTCGAACAATCTTCAATAATCGTGTTTGCTCCCTATTTCTTCAGAGAGTATGAGACTCGAACAATCTTCAACAATCGTGTCTGCTCCCTATTTCTTCAGAGAGTATATGACTCGAACAATCTTCAACAATCGTGTCCGCTCCCTATTTTTTCAGAGAGTATAAGACTTGAACAATCTTCAATAATCGTGTTTGCTCCCTATTCTTTTAGAGAGTATAAGACTCGAACAATCTTCAATAATCGTGTCTGCTCCCTATTCTTTCAGAGAGTATGAGACTCGAACAATCTTCAATAATTGTGTCTGCTCCCTATTCTTTCAGAGAGTATAAGACTCGAACAATCTTCAATAATTGTGTCTGCTCCCTATTCTTTCAGAGAGTATAAGACTCGAACAATCTTCAACAATCGTGTCCGCTCCCTATTCTTCAGAGAGTATGAGACTCGAACAATCTTCAACCATCGGGTTCGCTCCCTCTTTTTTAAAGAGTATAGAACTCGAACTTCTTCTGCAAACGGGTTCGCTCCCTCTTTAGTCAGGGAGTATAGAACTCAAAAATCTTCAAACGGGTTCACTCCCTCTTTCTTCAGGGAGTATAGAACTCAAACAATCTTCATCAAACAGGTTCGCTCCCTCTTTCTTCAGGAAGTATAGAACTCGAACAATCTTCAAACGGGTTCGCTCCCTCTTTCTCTAGGGAGTATAGAACTCGGACATCTTCTTCAAACGGGTTTGCTTCCTCTTTCTTTAGGAAGTATAGAACTCGAACAATCTTCAAACGGGTTCGCTCCCTCTCTTTAGGGAGTATGGAACTCGAACATCTTCTTCTTACGAGTTCGCTCCCTCTTTCTCTAGGGAGTATAGAACTCGGACATCTTCTTCAAACGGGTTCGCTCCCTCTTTCTTCAGGGAGTATAAAACTCGAACAATCTTCTGAAAACGGGTTCGCTCCCTCTTTCTTCAGGGAGTATAGAACTCGAACAATCTTCTGAAAACGGGTTCGCTCCCTTTTTCTTCAGGGAGTATAGAACTCGAACAATCTTCTGAAAATGGGTTCGCTCCCTCTTTCTTCAGGGAGTATAGAACTCAAACAATCTTCAAACGGGTTCGCTCCCTCTCTTTAGGTAGTATAGAACTCGAACATATTCTTAAAACGGGTCCGCTCCCTCTTTCTCTAGGGAGTATAGAACTCAGACATCTTCTTCAAACAGGTTCGCTCCCTCTTTCTTCAGGAAGTATAGAACACGAACAATCTTCAAACGGGTTCGCTCCCTCTTTCTCTAGGGAGTATAGAACTCGGACATCTTCTTCAAACGGTTTCGCTCCCTCTTTCTTTAGGAAGTATAGAACTCGAACAATCTTCAAACGGGTTCGCTCCCTCTCTTTAGGGAGTATAGAACTCGAACAATCTTCTGAAAACGGGTTCGCTCCCTCTTTCTTCAGGGAGTATAGAACTCGAAAATCTTCTTTTGCTTCACTATTTTTTTTTTTTTGCGAAGGCCTTAGTTTTATTTGCTTCAAAGGTCGAACCTGAAAATCAAACATTATCAATTATTAATGTATTCTTGGAAATATCATACTTAAAAATTCAGAGTTTCAGAAATTCTCTGAAAATTCATCTCTATCGGGAAAACTTGTTTGGAAGCCATTAGATACGTGAATCTACTTTGGCCCAATTATCATCACCCTTCTTTCTAGGATTTCAAAACTAGTCATCCTCATCTTGATGCTTCAATATCTTCAATCTTCAATTATCATTGAGAAATATTTTCTTCTTCGAATGAACACCATCTCCTTTGACCTCGATGGAACTCGGACATCTTCTGGTGTAATTCTGCTTCACTATTCTTCGGTGAAGGCTTAAGATTGACTTGCCCCAATATACTATGTGCAAGTCACTTTAATCGATTGATTCCTTTCTTCATACACGAAAATCCTTGTTTTTCTTCTACATCTGATGGTCTTCACTTCAAAGCAATGCTTCTTCTATGGACTAGATCTCTATTTTCTTCAGGGTATGCCTCTTAAAATGCAACTCCTTATGTTTGAGGTTTGAAATATTCCTTTCAATCCTCGGGATTCTAACATTCTGCATCTTCTCTTTTCGCTGGAAGATTTGTCAAAATCATGTATTTATGCATGAAACACAAATGCAATTCAATGTATCAGTGTAATGCATTTTATTTTATACAAATGATGTCTTCATGAATGCATAAATGTTTAATCAATCTTCACTTGGCTCTAGAGTAGTGAGCTCGATCTTCTTCCATTTGATCATTCCTTTCCATGGTTTGCTCTAGATATCCGTGTAGCAACTTGTAATTTCCAACTTGTTTTTTTACGAGCCCTCTGATCTTCTTCTATCTTTTTGTCGTCTTTGTTTTCTTTCTTCATTTCAGAGAAAAAATTTTCTCTCTCAACTTCTTATTATGGTAAAAATATGACTGTGTTGCCCCATTTTCAGAGACTGTGCATATGACTACGCCAAACTCCGTAAAGATCACATGGAGGTCCGCATCTATTCTGATTTGCCTCTTGAAACACATCACAAGGAGGATTTATCCCCATTTTTCATGTCACACCATTTAATCAAATATCAAATAAGGCTCATTTATTCCATATCAGGTCGAGAGGTTTAACAACAGCCCATCATTCAACCTTAGTTGGTTCTATTAGTTTCTTGTTGTTAAAATTCCATCGCCTCTTCCGTGGAAAGAAATCTTCATCATTTCTCATTTTTAACCTTGGCGTTGTAGAAGGCAAACTTCATCTTGGGAAATGGAAACAACCCATGATCGCAACACTGATTCATCACCATACTCACTGGTTCGTCAAACATTTGACCACACGTTCATCTTTTCACAAGGCTTCTACCCAAATCTTTCAACCAGGGAAGCTCTTTGCGTTGCACTCAGAGTTTTCGCGTGGTATTACAAGAATACCAAAACTCAGTTGAAATTAAAGTGAGTTACTAGTTCACCAACATTAATGCATTTGAAATCACCAGAATAATGCAACCGATGATGGACAAGATGATCATATACAGTAAACCCTACTGTCACTCTTTCATCATTTTTACTCTTCATACATTCATTTCCTATCAGAACTATTTGTTCAATTCAATGATCTTTCCACAGGTCGTCATAGGCTTCCAAAGATGCCCCACATTAATACCTCTAGCTTAAACAGGACTTCACTAGTGCCCCAACAATCTTATACTAGTACGGGTCTTCAAAATGCCCCAACACCTCAATTTGTAAGGCTCATTCTTCATGCCTTCTTGGTCTGAATCTTGTCGTCTCAACCTGATGTGGGTTCAGTCGTGCCCTAAAATGGGTACTCATGGATCTCTTCGTGCCCAAAATATCCTAACTTTGACGTTCTCATTCTGGTGTCACTATACAGTAGTGTTGTCAAATAGTCTGAGGGCTTTTCTTCATGCTACTTAAGAAGTGATCAACCCTTCTAACACAATGTCTTGCATTTTCATTCGGGCTGAGATATGTGCCCCTTTCAAATATGGCGAGCATCTACTTCTTGATGGGTTATTGACAACGTCATCTAGAAATTCTAAAAGCTCTTATTCTTCATCCATTATGATCTCTTTAGACCATCTTCTTCAAGATTGCGGAATGCTTCATGT